CACTGTCGTGCGGTGGTATCAGAATGAGCAGGGTCATCATCTCATTGCCAGGCTCACGGGGTTTGGTCCGTGACAACAAGCAAGGGGTATGCTCTTATGCTACAGTCATCATGCTGTTTGACATCACTGTCGTGCGGTATCAGAAAGAGCAGGGTCATCATCTCATTGCCAGGCTCACGGGGGTCTGGTCCGTGACAACAAGCAAGGGGTATGCCTCTTATGCTACAATCATCACGCTCCGATTGGCTTGACTTCCGCTAACATGTGTTGAGTAGTTTGTTTCACAGGCCATTGCACGATGTTCGCGATGCCGTTCATAAAAAAAGGCCGGGAGGGCCACTAAAATTGTTATTGTCTCTTGGCAGGTGTCGGGATCTCGGGGTGGACAGTCTGTGTGCCCAGTTACTCGTAGTTGCTTTAGACATAAAAAAGGCTACGCTAACTAGCCAACTTTCTCCCTGTTAATCCTACATCGATTATTCCGGCTCATCACATCCACCACCGCATTGGTTCCACTACTACGTTGCTTCCACATGGTCACTTCACCTCCTTTTCACAGGGTGGCTAGAAGGTAGCATCGGCCGTAATGACGGGAGCGTCCAGGTCGAAGGGAACTTGTGTATTGTCGACGGCCTCGGACGCCTGCGTTGTGGCGGAGGGTTCCTGTTGAGCGTTCCGGACCTCCACGGGTTTGAAGCCCACGGCCCCGAGTTCCGCGAGCTGCTCCGCCGTGGCGCGCCGACCGAGTATCTCGTACCAGCTCTGCTGGACGTGCTTTACAGGCAGGTACTGTCGTACTTCCATCTCTAGAGCTTTCTCCTCGGTTTCGACGTGTCCTTCAGGCAGACTTAAGACTGCTCTTTGCTGCGGCAATGCCAACTGGCGGGTCCGCACTTGCTGACTGACTAGTCCTTGCTGACCGACTAGTCCTACGGGCTGAGGCGCTACGACGCCTGTCTGCTGAACTACATAGGGCATCTGCTGAACATACGGCATTTGCTGAACATAGGGTTGCTGGACCACAAGCGGCTGCTGGACCACAAACGGCTGCGGAACCACAAACGGCTGCTGACCAACCCCTGTCAACGACTGGACCCCAGAGACTACGGAGCCGGATGCAACGTTCGTCGGCACGAACTGCTGTGCGACAGACTGAACCAGCGGCTGCTGACCTACGAGGCTAAGGGCCAGTGGCTGAGCAAGTGACTGGGCCAGTGGCTGAGTCAACGGCTGAACCAGAGGCTGAGCCAGCTGCTGTTGAGAGACCAGACCCTGCGCGCCGTAGTTGACCAGGCCGCCAGAGCTGACTAGGCCGCCAGGGCTAATTAGGCCGCCAGGGTTAACTAGACCGCCAGGGTTAACTAGACCGCCAGGGCTGACGAAGCCCGGGGCTGAGCCACTCCGCGAATAAAGATGATGGTAAGCTTCGTCTGAAGTCACCACATCCCCCGTGGCCACAAACTGGGCAGCAGCCAGGGTTTCGGCCTGCCACGACTGTTTGGAGAACGAGATATAACTCCTCATGGGCGTACAAGATTATTTATTAATAAGCCCCTCGGGCATGTTTTGGAGACGTGAGTGACACGGAACTGGAACCGGCGGGAGAAGCCACTGGAACCGGCGGGAGAAGCCGCTGGAAGCAGCGGGAATATCTTCTTCGCGAGAAGGTGGGGGTTCTGCTTGAGGGGGTTTCCCCTGAGGGGGTTTCCCTTGAGGGGTTTCCCTTGAGGGGTTTCCCTTGAGGTGCTTACTCTTTTGAGGAGTCGCTGTCCCGCTGGGAATAATTGCACCAGCGCACCAAATGCCTTCTTTAGTCTTCAGGTGTTGTCAAGAACAAGCACTGGGGACAGCTGTCAGTGGTCGAGAGCAGAAGCAGGAGTTTGGGCCACAGGAGGGGGACCTGCTTCCCGACGATGCAGAAGACGAGCTGCTCATGCCTGAGCCGATGCTTCAGACATATTTCAGTCGCGTCAAGAGGCATTTGAGGGACCTAGAACGTGGGACGTCTGCTCCTCTTAGGCTGACTCAGTTTCAACACACAGTCGACCGGTGCCATGAGCTCATCAATAAAGAACGGGCCGCAGTCATCCGGTCTTACCATAAGTCGAAGCAGCTTCTTAAACAGGAAGCACATCGCCAAGAACCAGCCGAGGAGGCGTTGCCTAACACCGGCTAGCGTACCTCCCGATCTGACACGGCCCTTCTCAGGAAGGCCCTTCTTCTTGACACCCTCCCTCCGGTCGAGGAGTCCTACTCGTTTTTGACTTGTCGAAGAGTCTTCGACAATGGACCATTCTTCAAATCATCCCCGTGACTCATCCCCCTTTTCCCCTGACCGCCAAAGCCCATATCAAAACCCAGGCTGTTGGAACCCTGCCAATTCAACCCGCGGGTGGCCTGATTTGTTGATCAACTTAATTCAAACACTCAGACGGGATACCAGGCGTAGCGTTTGTGTGCGAACGACACCGCAGATCCCAAAAGGTTAGAAATAAATTAAATCGATATTTTGAGTAACCGAACTATGAGCACTGAGCCAAGCCGCAAGATCTCGACTCCCGTCAACGTTCCCGTGGCTTCTCAGCTACAGACGACTTACAAAGCTCAAGGCAACTGGACTCAGCAGCAAGGCACCTACACCTCTCAGCCCCAGTACGCCACCCAAACTACCACCAATACCATGTCTTACGCTCCCAGTGGCACTGGCTATACAAGCACTGGCGGCCAGTACAATGCCTCCACTGGCGGCCAGTACAATGCCTCCGCTGGCGGCCAGTACACTACCGCTGGTGGCCAGTACACTACCGCTGGTGGCCAGTACACTACCGCTGGTGGCCAGTACACTACCGCTGGTGGCCAGTACACTAGCACTGGTGGCCAGTACACTAGCGATGCTGGTCAGTATAATGCCACTACGGGTGGCCAGTATAATGCCTCGGCTGGCGGACAGTACACTAGCACTGGCGGACAGTACACTAGCACTGGCGGACAGTACACTAGCACTGGCGGACAGTACACTAGTGGGAAGCAGTATGAGACGACCCGATCTGAGAATGGCCGGTCCGAAACCGGTGGCAGCGTGGTGAGGCGCGAAATGGGCGAGCAGCGGATCATATCGGTCACTGAGCGTGTGGACGAATCTCGTTCTCACGTGATCAACGAACGAGTTGTGGAGCATGCTGTAAAGATCCCTCGCCGGATTGTGCGTGAGGAAGTGATTGAGAAGGTGATTGTTGTGCCTGAGAAGATCATGACCGAGGAGGTGATCAACGATTCTCATATGGTGAAGGAGAAGATCATTGAGGTCGCGAAGCCTGTAATTGTGGAGAAAGTTATTGAAGTTCCTGAAATTGAGTATGTGGAGAAGATTGTGGAAGTGCCCCAAACGGTGGTTAAGGAGCGCGTGACGGAGGTCCCTGTTTATGAGACGAAGGAACGCATTGTAGAGAAGAAGGTGCCTGTGCCTCGCGAGAGGGTCGTCGAAGTCCCGGAAGTGGTGTATCACGACGTGGATGTCGAGAAGACGGTGGAAGTGGTCGAATACGTCGATGAATACGTAAAGAGGGAGGTTCCCGTTCCTGTGTATGTCACAAGACCCGTAGAGCAGATTGTGACAGTCGAGGTACCGGTGGACGTCGAGAGGAAGATGCCTGTGCCCGTCGAGGCGGAAGTCACCTACGAATTTAAGTTGCCTCAGTTCCGGCCGAAGTACGGTAAAGTCAACTACCCTCTCTACCTCCCCAGGTTCGTAGAGGTTCCCGTTGCGGTCGAACTGCTTAACCAAGGCATGCTCAGCCAGACCCGGGGCTACCTAGAAACCATTGACAACCTTACTAAGAACCCCGCCTCTCTGTGCGAAGTCGAGAACGTCGCCGCAGGCATCATGAAGGCTGACTTCCAGAACCAGGTGAACAACATGGATCTGCAACAGGCCATTCTTCGAGCGTGGAACGACGGTTCTCTCGACATCAACGGCGGCAACATTAACGGCATCCCCATGACCAGCTCTGCCGGCCAGCCTGGCTACAGCCAGCCAGCGTATACTAACACGACGAGCCAGGGTGGCTTTGCTACCTCCACTAGTCAGCCCGGCTACACTAGTCAGCCCGGCTACACTAGTCAGCCCGGCTACACTAGTCAGCCCGGCTACACCGGTCAGCCGGGTTACACGAGCACGACCGGTCAGCCGGGTTACACCAGCACGACCAGTCAGCCAGGTTACACCAGCACGACGAGTCAGCCTGGTTACACCAGCACAACTAATCAGCCTGGTTACACCAGCACGACCAGTCAGCCTGGTTACACCAGCATGACCAATCAGCCTGGTTACACCAGCACGAGGAATAACGCTGGTTACACCAGTACAACCAACCAGGGGGCCTTCGCCACAAGTTCCAGGCAGCCGGGCTTCACCAGTTCCAGCAAGCCGGCCTTGAGCACCACTTCAGCGCAAATTTCTGCTTCTGGCCCCGTTGTTACTTCTGCCTCCGGCGTCTCAGGGTATCAAACTCAGGGCTACTCTTCCAACACCCCCGGGTACGCTGCCCCTGCGACTGCAAGTTTCAGCACCACATCTGGAGCTGTGGTGAAGATGTCGGCTAATGTTGGTGGAGCCACGTACTCCACGAAGCCGAACGGATACTCAGTGCCCCAAGTGAGCGTAACTGCTTGCCAGTAGACTAATCATTTTTCGATTCGGAACAATTTTTTCAGTAGGGTGAATTTAGTAAAGCCTAAGGAATAGAATAAATGAGAGTCCCCCGCTTCGTGGATCTGCAATAGGCACCATGAGCCCGGCAACGATGATGTAGCGATTGGGTACGGCATTGGGCATGGTAACGACATGAGGGAAGGGTCGGTGTTGATCGTCGTGATCGGAAAAGGTGGGGGTTGAAGTCTCCGCTGCGCGGCCGGACAGGATTGGAGGGCAGGGGAAGACTGTCCCCACCCCGCATGTGTTTGGTCTCTACCCACGGCCCCCGCGTCACACGTGTGTGGTCTCTTTTTGCTGTCTTGTGTGTGATTTGTAATTTTAGGCGGTCCTTTTAATTTTGAGATGATACCTGAGCAGCGAAAGATCTCCACTGCTGAGCACGATGCTTCTTCGATGCAGGTACCGCCCTCAACGTTGACGACGGCCTTTTCGACCAACGCACCGCTCAGTTCCGCGGCTGGGATGTACGCCACGGAGAAGGAGACGACGACTACAACCAATGCTGCGGGTAACACTACAACGACGACTACGACTACGACGACTTACGGTAACGGGCCTACCACGACCTACGGCGCTTCCACCTCTGTCGGGGGCGGCAATAGTAACGGCGCGATCATGATGACAGGAGCCAGCCGAAACTCTAGCGCAGCGGGTGCTCCCTTCACTGCTGGCACTACTACCCTGGGCGGCGAACTATATAAGGCTGGGGAGTTTAGGACCGGCGAGGTTTACAACGCTGGCGGAGAAGTGTTTAGAACATCTACCAAGTCCTTCACCACGGGCGGAAACTCCCTGGCAGCGGGCGCCTCTATGGGGGGCTCTTTGCTGGCGGGCGGTGTCGCTAGGGGTGCTGGTATGACCACCGCTACCGGTGGTATGACCGCCGCTACCGGTGGTATGACCGCCGCTACCGGTGGTATCACCACCGCTACCGGTGGTACGACTAGTAGTGGTATGAATACTACTAGTACCATGATCGGTGGAAACAGCACCACCACTATGGTGGGCGGTAACACGGTCACGACTACAGGGACGGGGGGGACGAGCCAGGTGGTGCGACGAGAGGTCGGTGAAAGTAGAGTGATTTCGGTGACCGAGCGAGTGGACGCCAGCCGGACCCGTGTGATCGGGGAACGGATCGTGGAACACGAGGTGAAGGTTCCGAAGAAAGTGGTGCGCGAGGACGTGTTTGAGAGAACGATTGTGGTGCCCGAGAAGTTGGTGGTGGAGGAGATAATCGACGAGACGCACAAGATCAAAGAAAAGATTGTGGAGTTTGCAAAGCCCGTGATAGTCGAGAAGATTGTGGAAGTGCCGGAGTATGAGTACGTAGAGAAGATTGTGGAGGTACCCGAGAAGGTGGTCCAGGAGCGTGTGGTGCATCAGGAGAAAGTGGTCTACGAGGACCGCGTCCGTGAAGTGGTAAAGATGATACCAAAGGAGAAGTATGTGGACGTACCCGAGATCACATACCGAGAGGTACCCGTTCCGAAGGTGGTGGAGGTCGATGACTGGCGGGACGAGGTGAAGATTGTCGAGGTGCCGGTGCCGCGGTACGTCGATAAGCTGATCCCCCAAGCGAACCAGGTGGAGAGCTTCGTGGACGTCGAGCGGACGATCCCAGTGACTGTGGAGGCGGAGGTGGTGATGAACTTCGAGGTCCCGCAAATCAAGGGCCGCTACCAGAAGATTAAGTACCCCGTCTACCTGCCCAAGTTTATCGAGGTGCCCGTCATCATGGACCTGCTTCCGGCCACGGCGCAAACGCAAAGCTCGCAATACCTGCAACAGATCTCCAGTTTCACCAAGTCCGCCGCCTCCCTCTGTGACATTGAGAGCCTGGCAGCGAAGATTATGAACGCTACAGAACTCCGGCCCGATCTCTTCAGCGACTCCACCAACTACAAGAAGGTCATTATGGACGCCTGGAACTCCGGCAACACCAACTTCCTCACTGGGATAATGGCTACCTCGGGTGGTCTCACTGCTAGCGGCCTCTCCACCAGTGGCCTCACCACTAACAACCTGGCGACCGGCTTGTCCACTGGCTACATTGGCGGCACCACTTCTGGATCCTACCAAACCGGCACCGGCTATCAGACGGGCACCGCCTATCAGACGGGCACAGGCTATCAAAGCGGAAGCTACCAGACCACAACCACTACCTCCCACCAAGTTGGTTACCAGCCTACATCCGTACCGTATAACACCGTCTCTGGTCCCACCAGTCATACCGTGTCAGGACCCAGCCAGTGAATGAGAAATTTGAGTCATTTTTAGTCCTAATACCAGTTTCAAAAACTAATGCCATCGTTCCAACACAAAGGACGATAGACCTGTTGCCTAGATCTTGCCGCACGCTCAGCAACAGCGTCTCTAACACCGCTTTCTCTGCCGCACAAAGACACTGTTCAGCCGTGCACTGTTCAGCAGGACACCACCGGTGGTTCGACTACCATCGTTTTATACCTCCCTTCAACTACACTCCATGGGTATCAGGACAACAGGTGGCCTTCCCCTGGCGCCATGTTGGCGTTAATTCGTGTGTAACACTGTGCGGGTCACAGGACTCGTAAAAGAAGATGTCACCGAACCATCGGTTGTTAAACACGGTTGGTCTTTGCTGGTATGGTTTATTATCGGCGTTTGTCTGGTTCGCACCCAGTCTGGATACAAGCTTATCTACAGCCCGCGCTTCTTCTTTTATTTGTTCTCCTTCAGGTGAGTTGCGTGCCAACTCCGAGTCCTGTAATAGGTTATATTCCTTCCGGGCTAATTCGAGCTCTCCAAATTCCTTTAAGGCGCGCGCTCGGGTCCAATGACTATAAATATAATTGGGATCCACTTCCACGGCTTGAGTAGAGACCTGGATCGCAAGCATGTATCGCTCCGTCTCCATGAAAATCTGCGCAAGCATCTCCAAATACACATGTCCCTCATCTGGGTCTAACCGCGCTGCTTGGGAGAAACTCGATATGGCTTCGTCCCACCGAGACGCCGACGCTAGCCGTCTACCCTGTACCCCTCGCTCGATACCAGTCTCCAGAGTGAACCGCAACCCACTGCGGATCACCGCTGGACCACTCACGGCCCCTTGGGTCCCCAGATCTCGCCGAAACAGCACTGGCCGTCCACCCCGCTTCTTTTCATTATCAATATATAGCGCTACCACCTCATCTATATCAAAAGCAGATTCCTGCTGGGGGCGCGTTCTCGTGCTTGCCCGCGAGTCTTCCCTTTTGTCTTCTGCTGCCTCCACACCGAATAATGAAGGGTCCAGCCGCTTGACCAACTTTCTTCGCACCGGCTTTTCTATCCGTTTTCGCAACGACAAATGCATCCCCAAAAAGTGCAACAAAATTCTTCATACGAAGAAGCGCTTCACGACGTGCAGACACTCTTCACACCAGCATCACGCTATCGAAAACTGCCGCCTTTATACTTATGCCGCCTTCGTCAGAATCCGCCTTCTACAAAGAAACATGATTTTCGGGCGCGCACACGTGTGTGCACACGTTTGCGATCCCTGCTCCGCCCGCCCGTATCGCCCACAACTAACTGTGGGTGTTTACTTTAGTTCTTAGTAAGTAGCCGATGTTTTCGTTTACTACCTGTTTGTTGCCATTCCAAATACCGACGCCGTAGAATCCGATTTCACTAACACAGGACTTGATAGAGAGGACGTCGTCCACATAAATTTCAGTGAGGGTTTCCGGACTGTCTATTTTGGTCATGAGAATGTGGCTGGCAGTTTTATTCTCAAGTAGAGGAGGCAGGGCAAGAGGTATTTGGTCTCCGTATATGTTATTACCGCCTCCTTCGCGTTGTGGTTTGAGGACATAGTGCTGGGGGTTCTTCAAAGCGTCCTGAATAATTCGGAGGGTGTGTGGGTCTTCATCGCTGACGTCGACCTGGTCGACAAACATATTTGTGATATGGTCTCTTTGTTGTTTGTTTGGTAAGTACCTTTCGAGAGCGGGGCGTTCGTTTTCTGCGCCAACAAAGGTCTGTTTGCTGCTCCATACCTGTTGCGCTTTCTTGAGGCCGACTAGTTGCGAGACAGCGCTGGGAATCACGGCGCATTCGCTGGCTTCTATGAACTCCCGGAGAAGCCAGTGGTTCTGGGTATGATAATGGTCCGGTCTGTAGCCAGTTCTAAAATAGACGGTGGAGACTTCAAAGAGATAGTCCTCTTCGTTATATACAAAGAGGGCGGGGTTAAAGTAGAAACGCTGATTCTCAAATTTCAAATTGGACAAGGCATTTGCAAGGTCGTCCCAGGCCACCACGAAGACCCGGGTATTGTTGCCTTCCACAGCAGCCGTTTCTACAGTCGTTCTAGAGGAGATGTTCTCCCCCCCACCCTCAGTCTCCACCCGGCCACTACTATCCGATCTCTCTCCGTCCCGACCAAGTTCACTGGCACGAACCACATCACGCAGGCAGCTAACACAGTGCAATATCTCTGGGAAATTAGCCTCAAACTTCCCTAGCACCCACAGGATACATTGTCTCTGGCCATCTCCAAAACGAGCCTTGTAAACATCGTCCAGTGTTCTCAGATTATCTATCAACAATGTTCTCGGTTTATTCCCAGGCAACTTAGATCTATATTCCGGTATCACCAACATCTTATGCAACTCAGTAAGCTCCTCCATGCTATGCGGACCAACCACAGAGCTCAAGTTAATCTCCACTTGCGCCATTTTCAACTCACCTGAAGACTGGTCCAACAGAAAATCATTGCGAGTGACATATGCCCTGATACAGTTACTCACACTCTTCTTCCCTGATAGATACACCTTCTCAACTATGCAACAAAATGCATTAACGAACTCATCGTCATCTCTAATCCTAATCAAAAAGGAATTCTTACATGCACGGGCAGTGTTGGTGTTTTCACTTCGGTCACGTACTTGGAATACATCTTCAGCAGGCCTTCTATATCAGTAGTCATTGAGTCTATTAGTTTATGAAAGATAGGCGTAGCGGATTCCCCATCCAGGAACAACCTCTTGGGGAACTACAAGAAGAGGTTAGAGAGAAGTGTTAGGCAACGTACTCTCGTTGGCAGAGTTGTAATGGGGGCAAGGGACAGCTGGGAATGGTTGTCGCTCCTCAGAAGCTGCTTCGTGATTAAGAACTGCCTGATGAGGGCAATTCTTCGCTTCTCCATGTTGCCCTTGGGAATCAACATGTTGGCACGTCCTGCCTAAAATCGTTAAAAAGAAACCGGACAAACAGCGGCAAGTTTTCAGATAGCTACGCCCCCCCCCCTTCCTC